GAGAGCCCAATTCGGTCTCTGATGGTCTCAAACTACTGGCCTTTGCAGTTTGCAGGCCCTGTACTGGTCTCTGAGGGCCCTAATCTGGCCTCTAAGTGAAAACATACATGGGTGGGCTTCTGAAGATCAGAGGGCTTACGCAGACTCCTGTACAGCCTTACGTTGGTCCTGATCGAGATCACTTTACGTCCTGATGGTCCCGCGTAGATTCCCTCATATTTCGACATCGGGACCCCATGAGCCGTTGTGGGTCTTGGGGCTGGCAGAGACTGATGAAATCCTCATGGCTCAGGGCAAGTCTTTTCAGCATGAGAACTAGGCAGGTTGAGTGAGCCCCAATAGAGCCGTTACGAAGCCCGCAGGAGTCGCGCGCGGCCCTCAGATGCCAATTTTGAAAGCCAGGAACCTTTGGTCTCCAGAGGTCGGTGTACCTACTCTCTCCCGCCGCCACACAACTAGATGGGTAAATGTCATAGTCTGAAAATGCTCTCTGGGTTTCACATGCTTGTTCAAAGCAAGAAGTAGGTATCTGTGCTTTTCCGAATTGTTTTATAGTGGTAAGGTCATAAATCCGCGTGCCCGATGCAGTATATGCTACACCGATCCGTCGCCATGGTGCAGTGGCCCGACCGGTGGAACCACCGTGGGACGGGAAATGGAACTGGTGATTTTGCCTTAAATTGTGCTTAAAGATTCCACGCAAGAATGACATGGATGAAGCATAATTAGTGCCAACTGCGCGGCGCCTCGTGGACGTAAAAATTAGCCGATCACCCCCCCCCCCGCCTCCGGTGACGGATAAATGTTATGTCCCGCGAGTGTGAGTTTGGCCCCACCTTTTGCTAGCGGCTGCGACCGCCAGTGCAGCTACTTTCCGTCAAGTGGCCTGTACCGTCGAGGCGTCCCTAAAATCAACCCATCATCAAACACCTACATTCCAGCTCTATTAGAAGAAGTAGTTCAAAAATATAGGAGTTATTAGAGCTTTAACCTTCGCCCCAGTGGGGGGGAGGGCATATGTTACCTCCCTGTCGCGTTTTTTTTTTTTGCGTGTGAATAAAAAACCGCGGCGCGTAGCGCCGCGCCGCTTGAAGTAGCTTTTTGTACATCAGTTTTGGACAATGTGTGAAATTTTTTACCCCAGGGTATGTCAGGTCAGGTCACCAGGTCAAAGTAACTGACCAAGCCTAAAAACGTTTGCAATCATGTCCAGCCTGCAGTGTTTGTCAAAGAGGTTTTAAACTTGGTGGATTCCATGATGTTATAGGCGCCTATAATTTGTATATCTCGGATTTTTTGTTATATCCGTGACCTAAGGTTAGGCCAGTGGCGTGACCTTTCCATTACAAGTCAATGGAGAAAAATGAAAATGCCTCTAGATCCGTGTGTACGCATAGGAACAGTCCAAATATTTCAGAATCACAATGATTTGGACCACCCGTGATGACCAAGGTGTCTTTTTTTGCTGATAGCCTCTAGAAAGGTCATCCGAGGTCATTTGAGGCTACAGACAGATTTTTGCTAATAACTCTCGATTGGAAAGAGATAGAACGCTGGCGATGGCCTCATTGTGTTTGTCTTGTCGAGACGCATCGGCTGATATGCAACATGACCTTTTCCGGTCAGGTCATGACCTTGACCTGAGGTCGAATTTTCAAGTTGACCTTTCAATGTCAAATTATAGTTCATTCGACGTTCTTGGCGAGAGGAACACGATTCTGGCAACAGAAATGTCGTGGCTTTTTTAGTCGAAAGTTATTGTCGAAAAAAAAAACACTTTCCGTAAAAACAGCTATTTTTGGAGTTTTTGCCCTCTGGAGTCTAAACCGTTGACATGAGGTCAATTTTGACCTTATCAAAAGAAGAGTTCAAAAGCAATCGGTTGCTTTTCAATGCGTTTATCTAGCTATCATAGTTCCTGAGATAACGGCATGTTTTGTGAAAAAAAAAAATAATGACCATTCGCAAATTTTGACCTTGGATGACCTCTGGTCACCCCAATATTGCTCTTAGATGAAAAATGACTGAAATACTTTCAAACGTACGCATTGTGAGCTATCAACTGCTTTTTATCGCGTCTTTCTAGCCCACTTAGCCGTTTTTGAGTTGGAGGTGGGTGGTAACATATGCCCCCCCCCCCTCCCACTAGGGTGAAGTTGGCTGAGACCGCCACTGGGGCGCGGGTTAATAACATAACACCAACCAAATTTTCTCAAACTATTTTTAAGTTCTTGACCTAGTTTTGGAACTAGAACAGCACCATTTGATCCTTCGTGAAAACCTGCATCATATAAACACCTTCATTGGTTTTTACAATCAAGCTCAAAATATGACCTCACTTGGCCTGACCTTGACTTGACCTTGACCTGACCTTGATCCGAAGTCCGAACTTCATTTAGATATGGTCCATATCACTAACATCATGCTAATTGAGCATGCCCATTGATTTCTGCGAATCAAATGACCCATAAAGCATGTGTCACACATATCCTATTCTATTGTACGTACGTCTTTGCTGGCCTAACCTGATCTTGTCCTTGGCCTTTGCCTTTGCATATGCAATGCATCCTGTCTTTGTCGCCTAAGATCGCGTTTTGAGCAATCAATTTGGCATTCCATTCTTCGCCAACTGGGCTTCAAAGTCAATAATGTAGAAACTTGCGATTTTGACCCTTGACCTGACCTCCACCTGACCTGTAAACTCCTCAAGCAAGTTTATTTTTGTTCCAAAAGTTTGTCTTGTTGAGAGCTTTCGTTTGCCGTTCTTCATATCTTTCCGCTCCCCTCCCAGTGGGTCTAAGGGACAAAGGATAGGAGACACATGTCTGTGACCCGGCACTGAAACTAGACACTCACCCAATAGATTGATTGCTACCATTATTTTTGCGAACAGATGCTGGTCAAAATAAATGTCATGCTGGTGTTTCCCGTCGCCTAATTGATCTTGCAATTATTTTTCGTATCATCTTACAATTAGGGGAAGCGGGGGTAGCACCGCCATGTGGGAAACACCGCCATCCTCTCTATCGGCAAAACTCTGAATTATAAATGTAAACACCCGCCATTTCGGTGTCCGAACGGAAATGGGACGCCGCGTGATGTAGGTTTCGCTAAGATTTATTTGATTTTGAGATCGCAATTGCCCATTTTGT